CCGTCTTTTTGCCTTTTAAAATACAGGCTATACCAAAAGGCTACGATGACTGCGCTTTCTTCTTTTGGTTCCACACAGCCTTTGTAGAGGACAACAGGTAAGCTGTAATGACTGACATCAGAGGCCTGTGACAAAAAGCCCTCAAACTTTGGCTGGCTTGGGAACCAGAGTGTGATAAACTTTTATCTGTGTGAAGAAATGGGCTCAATACAAGTCTCCACTAGCAACAGAAAGGCTTGCTTTCTTCCATGGGGCTGCGTTATATTTTTAAAAGGTAAACAACCAACCCTTTCCCCTCACATGATCCCACAGAAGAAAGTAGAGCTGTCATTTGCTACAGGGGACTTGCCTTGAGCCTAACTCTTCAGAAAGATACAAGCTAAAAAATACTGTCTCTGCTTTGTTGGGAAAGGGGTCATGAGTTCAAGTCTCTGCAGGTTTTTCTTACATGGAAATGCACTGTTGGGCAAGTCTCCAATAAAGGAAGTTGGTTGAGTGAAGAACTGAGAAATCAATTTCCTTTCAGGGATGGAGGCCTCATCGCTCACTGCTGAAGCATTGCTGCTGATAAACACGATGTAGGAGAAATTAAAGATCAAGCAGGCATGTTGCTACTTTTAAGTAGCAGGAATACAAACACTTGCTCATCTGTCTCCAGGTGCTTGTAATCAGACTCGCCCTGTATTGGAAAGGAATCATTATCTACCCCATTTCCAATTGCAGGCCAGCATGTTATGTAATAGGGACGCGGGTGGTGCTGTGGGTTAAACCACAGAGCCTAGGACTTGCTGATCAGAAGGTTGGCAGTTTGAATCCCCGCGACGGGGTGAGCTCCCGTTGCTCGGTCCCTGCTCTTGCCAACCTAGCAGTTCGAAAGCATGTCAAAGGGCAAGTAGATAAATGGGTACCGCTCTGGCAGGAAGGTAAACAGTGTTTCCGTGCACTGCTCTGGTTTGCCAGAAGCGGCTTAGTTATGCTGGCCACATGACCCGGAAGCTGTACGCCGGCTCCCTCGGCCAATAAAGCGAGATGAGCGCCGCAACCCCAGAGTCGTCCGTGACTGGACCTAATGGTCAGGGGTCCCTTTACCTTTATGTTATGTAATATATGAAGGGACAGAGGGAGTCTACTGAGTCAGAATGCTAGCAGAATTTCACTAGCTTGACAACAAATTAAAAGCCACAATTAACTCATAAAGCAGAATGAGCTGTACATTCTCTTTTTGGGGGTGCAACAAGGGACATCAGAAACAGCAGAAATGGCCACAACTTGCACATTCATCCGAGGTCAGGAACAGAAACCATGCAAGCAAATATAAGTGCTATTTGCTATTGTTCTTAGTCCACAAATGTTATTTTCTGCACGGTTTCTGGTGTGTCCCTTTCATTGATATTAATCACATAATTCATTACATTGGTTTTGGCCACAGTGGAGAGAGTGAGGTGAGCTATAAAGGTGAACTATAGCATAACGGAATGGAATGGAAACAATTGATGGTGAGAAATGGAGGACAGAACAGAAATGGCTGCCTCATAGCTGCAACTACTACTGTAGCTCATCAACGCTAGGAGAATGACTGAGCACAAGCTTGAGGATGAGTCCCCAGCAAATGGGAGGCAGCCATGTTTTTGTGCTAAAAATGGATTGTGTGGTTAAAAATGGGAGATGGAGACAGCATTTACAGATGAAGTACATGCTCCCGTGTTCTGCCACTAGCAACCGTATTTTTCGCACTATAGGACGCACTTTTCCCCTCCAAAAATGAAGGGGAAATGTATGTGCGTCCTATGGAGCGAATGCAGGCTTTCGCTGAAGCCTGGAGAGCGAGAGGCGTCGGTGCGCACCGACCCCTCTCGCTCTCCAGGCTTCAGGAAGCTATCCGCAAGCCTTGGGAGCCCGGCGGGAGTTCCCACTGGGCTCGCAAGGCTTGTGGGCAGCAACCTGCAGCCTGAAGCATGGGGCGCGCCCCAGAGCACGCCCGTGCTTCGCACAGATGTCCGCAAGCCTTGTGAGCCCGGCGGGAGTAGTTTCCGCCGGGCTTGCAAGGCTTGCGGATAGCAGCCTGTTCTGGGGGCTGGGGTCGGGAAATAAATTTTTATTTATTTATTCCCCCCCCCCAAATGAGGTGCGCCCTATGGGCCAGTGTGCCCTATAGGGCAAAAAATACGGTACTTCATTTTGTATATCCAGTGTTGACTTATTCAGGTGTTCCGTTTCTGTGTTGGATCAACATGCCAGGGGTTGGTGGCAAGGACAAGCTCTGTGATCACTTCCCATGAGTTAGGAATAGTAACTTGGGGAAGCCCCTTCTTTGTGCCATAGGTTCCACGTGAGGTGTGGAACCCCAAGTTCTCCAGGTTTCTGAATAGTGTGGGGAGCTCCTCCAGCATAGGTTGATCAAACGCAGAAAAATGCTTGACCATGTGCCATTCCCTGCGCATGGATTTACACGCTCTTCATTAATGCTTCCCTCCCCACTTTCCCCAGGCTTTACCTTTCTAGAAATGAAATTGATAACCTACACAAGCCAAGGATGTGGAAGACTTTCAGGGAAGACTTTGCTGTGGAGCTGCACTTTGGCGAATGCTAACCAGAAGTGAACAGTGGCAAGTTTTAAAACAAAGAGTTCCTATTCCATTTCCTTCCCAAGATCATGATGCTCTGCTACCACTATGGTATTGCCTTCTAAATCTCATTTGTGTCTGTATAGGACATTGCAGAACTGAATATTGAACACAGAGCTGGCCTAGCTATTTTGTGTCTGTTGCTTATAATGATTAAAGCAATTAATTTTGTCAGCTTGTTTGTGTCTCTATGTGAAAAATAGTTTCCAGTGTTTAAAACTCTACCACCCCCTTCCCATCTTCTCAGGTGGCTGATCTCAATACAAACTCTGTGGTATGTGGACAGTGCATGGTCTTCTTCTGAATGAGACCATTAGACATTGCTTCGGTCACCAAGATCTGACCAGCTATGTTAAGATTCGCCCATTTAATCCTAGCAGCAATTTTCATTTAATCAAACTGAGGGATGGGGAGCCTGCAGCTCACTGGATATTTTTGGCACTCTCATAATTCCTAACCATTGGCTGTGCTCGCTGGGGTTAGTCATAGCTGGGAATGCAATATCCCAACATTGTGATAAGAATGCTTTTTGTACCCTTTTTCTGCTGATGTGGTGTGCATGTTCCTGGAACTGGGAGGCTCGGGATACAGCGGCCATTATATTGTTATACTGACCACTTCACTTGCACAGCGGACTCCCTTCCTGGGCTTGTTATTTGGAACTGGAAGTTGCTCGGCCTTGTTGTAAGCTACTTGCACATAGGCCTCCAGAGGTTTGGCTCAAGGACTTGACTTCAGCAATTTGATATTATTATTAAAGGTTACAGGTTACCTCTAAAGCAGAGATGGTGGCCTGCTAGATTACGTTGGAATTGCAAGTCCCGTGAGTCCAGCAAGAATGAATGTGACTAGTGTTGTGGCTCTGAAGCTATTGCTTGACTGCAGGTTCCTCATTCCTGATTTAATGGCGCAGAATACAACCCAGTCATCCTACCCAACCCATTGCAATAGCAGTCAAATTGGAACGTTCTGCTCAGTCCTTGAAGAGGCTCATGGAACCAACTAGATTCCCAAATTCTAGACCTCACGTGGGATTAGAGTTGACCTGAAGGATAGCAAATTTGAGGGGGTTTTTTTGACAGTACTAAGTGGGCTCCGGTTTACAGCAGCTTAAAGGTAAAGGGACCCCTGACCGTTAGGTCCAGTCGTGGACGACTCAGGGATTGCGGTGCTCATCTCGCTCTATAGGTCAAGGGAGCCGGTGTTTGTCCGCCGACAGCTTCCGGGTCATGTGGCCAGCATGACCAAGCCGCTTCAGGCAAACCAGAGCAGCACACGGAAACACCGTTTACCCTCCCACTGGAGCAGTACCTATTTATCTACTTGCACTTGGCGTGCTTTCGAACTGCTAGGTGGGCAGGAGCTGGGACTGAACAACGGGAGCTCACCCCGTCGCAGGGATTCGAACTGCCGACCTTCTGATCGGCAAGCTCAAGGCTCAGTGGTTTAGACCACAGCGCCACACACGTCCCTTTACAGCAGCTTAGGCCATATTAAATTTGCTTTCTTTAAAAAGACATAAACCTTCTCTGCCACTTTTACACACCAGTAATTCTCCCTTATTTTGTTTTTTCCTAAAGGAAAAGGCAATATTACTTTTAAGATACTCTGAGAAGTGTGCACACAAAAGATGGAGCAAAACTACTCTGCAAAACTGTAGCGAAACAGAAAACTCAGATGTGAATATAGGCTACTGCACTTAACTGCTGGGTTCATTTTCTTGATTTCTCTAGCAACATAAGAGCAGTGACATTGTGGTAGCATATATGGGGCAGCTTGTGCTTCCATGCATTAGCTACTGTTTAGTGCCGGTTTATGGGGACGCGGGTGGCGCTGTGGTCTAAACCACTGAGCCTCTTGGGCTTGCCAGTCGGAAGGCCGGCAGTTTGAATCCATGTGATGGGGTGAGCTCCCATTGCTCAGGCTCCCTTGGCCTGAAAAGTGAGCAGAGCACAGTACCCCATAGTCACCTTTGGACTTAACCATCCAGGTGTCCTTTACCTTTTTACTTTTACCATGCCTTTTAGTGCTGGTGAGTCGCGTAAGCAAATTGGCCAAGCCAGTTGTATAGAATTCTTAACGTCGTTTGGCTTCCCAACAGATTAAGTCTGGACAGGTGTTTCTCTGCTCTTAAGGCATGGAAGTTACTATAACCTGACAGAATTAAATGTGTTACTTTAACATGCTTTTTTAAAAAAACCAACACAGCATTGCTTGTATAGCTCTTGTATTAGTTGACCATCCAAGCTCTCCTAAGAGATCTTATTATCTGCAGTTGTCTAGGCACTGAACGCAAGGAACCACACAAAGTTTAGAAAAAAACCCACCACATATTTATTTAAAACATCAGATACTTTAAAAAATAAAACCAGAATCTTTAAAACTTGATTTTTTTTTGTTCTTGCAGCAGCTCTCATGACCTATAAAGGTTTCCAATGATTTTAAGTCTACAATAAAAAATATTACACATCAAACTGGTTCATCATCAGTTTCCGACTGTACTCATAGGCAAGGAACAATGCACCGTTGGCTGGGAAAGCTCGAATCATCGTAGGTTTCAGTCCCGAATACAAGGCAAAGACACCTGTCAATAAGAGTTAAAGTGTTAACAAAAGCTGCTGCTTGGAACGAGTCTCCCTCCCGTTTCTTAAAAGCTTAGGTGCAACTATAGCATTTTTAAAAACGAGGAATAATGGCATTATTTATATATAGAATAGTATAAACTACCCATGACCCTGAGATTAAGAGTCTCATGCTCTACTGCTTTAGCTATCCCAGAGGGCTTACATACTGCTATTCAGAGTAAATCCATTGAAATTAATGGACCCAAGTTAGTCGTAGCCATTATTCACTGGGTCTACTTTGAGTAAAACTTAGTTGCATGCAATCCATACTGCTCAATACCAAAATGGGATTCATTTATGGTGAGGATTGCCGTAACACAGGCACAGGCAAACTCAGCCCTCCAGATGTTTTGGGACTACAACTCCCATCATCCCCTAGCTAACAGGACCAGTGGTCAGGGATGGTGGGAGCTGTAGTCCGAAAACATCTGGAGGGCCGAGTTTGCCTATGCCTGCCTTAGCAGGAATTAGAGGCAGAGATAACAGAATAGTGAGTATAAATAAATAAAAACAAATATATAAAGGCTATTGAACACAAGACATTTAGTTCTAGGTATAGTCCACAATTTGTGTCAGTACGGATTCCTTGATATTCCCCGTCCCATAGCCCTGGTTGCGGTTTCGTTTTCTAACCTTCTTTCCGGAGCACACTTGCGAACGTTAACATGAAGCCTGCCTGTTTTCCTGCCATGGAAAGAACCTGAATTCTAGATTTGATGCAGTCAATGGGATAGACAGCAATCCAGAGACACATGCCACCGAAACCGCCGCTGATCATCAGTGCCACAGGACCTACAAAACCAAGCAGAGGTGGGATAAGACGTCTCGGCACCTGAAGCAAAACATCCATCCGTTTCCCTCACTCTAGTAGTGTAAAAACAAATTGTACACACACACACACACACACACAGCGATTGGGCCACGACATGCACAAACACTACAAGATGCATTAAATCTCCCAGGGACGGTCAGCAGCCAGATATAGATTGGACACATGGGGAGTTAATTTTAATCGTATGATACCTGTCTTTCCATTCCTACTTCATTGTCCCTTTGGCCTTTCTTGGGATGTGCTCTCAGCTGAGCCTCTGTGTGTGCTGCTAGCCAGCTGTTGAGATGACTGCTGTATTGCACAGGGAATGAGGACAACACTTACCTCTCTCAAATGCTCTTGCTTTGGGGCAAGTGAGACCAAATGCAAAACTGAGGAGGATGTGGCGGTGTCAAAGAGCAAGTGTAGAATTCATCTCTACAACCATAATATACGTAGGATGCGCATCCTCTTAACACCCCATCACTAGTGCTACATGTAAAAATATATTCCAGTAATCCAGTTTCGTAAGAAATTGTCCAATTGCCAATCAGTGTATTTTCAAACAACATGGCTGACTGCAGAACCAAGTCGATGCACTTCATAAACATTCGTTTATGGAAGGATTGGAGAAGTTTCACTCCCAACATTAGAAACACTGTAAAAAAAACAACCTATGGAAGGTTGCTCTATCAGAACTATTTAGACTCATTTAAACACCCTTAACAAGTCAAACAACATACCTAATTCCTCTTTCGGCCTTCCAAATGCAAAAAATGTTCGGCTCAGTTCATAGCCTCCAAAGAACAAAAAATAGCCTGGGATTTCGCGCAGCAAAGTGCTGGACCAGCCACGGTAGAATCCAAAGGGACCGTCCTTTTTCAGAACACCTTTCACTACTGACCAAACTGTACTAAGAGAGGAACAAGACTGTCAGAACAGTTACGTAAACGGAAACTGACTGTGTGAATTGTTATTTTTTGAAAGAGGGGGGCCATTTGCTCAAGGCCTTGTACACACAAGGCTGGCAGAAGCACAATTAGGAACGTCAAGCTCCTGTCCTAGAACATGGTGAAATAACGAAATAGTCACAGAAAATTAAATCGGAGGCTTCCGTTCCTCAAGAATCAAGTCCAGCTTCATCAGTGGTTTTATACGATTTAGACATGCAAATGTCCAGTCACTGGTTATCTCAGATGAAAATTGAGTTGCCAAAGCACTTGCAAGATACGCCCAGGATCGCAGTCTGAGCTCTAGATACATCTGAGGCCTAGCTCTACAGCAGGGCTTCCCAAACTTGAGTCCCCAGCTGTTTTTGGACTACAACACCCATCATCCCTGACCATCATCCTGCTAGCTAGGGATGATGGGAGTTGCAGTCTCAAAACAGCTGGAGAACCAAGTTTGGAAACACTGCTCTACAGGAATAAGTGAATCACAGCCTCCTGTTGAAGGGAGAAACTTGCCATAATTCGGATAGATGCATGGGGATCCTTGAATAAACACCCCATCTTTATGAAACCACCATCTCTTGTGGTTTGGGCAAGGGATACACACACACACACACACACACACACACACACACACACAACTGTCCAAGCTTATCACAGGGCCTTTTGCTGCTTCTGGACTGGGATATGGCCTATGCAGGCCAGGCAGCAACTCTGTATATATAAAATAGTTCCATTCCCATACAGGAGATTCTTGAGCACTTGCCATTGCAGAAGCCAAACAGCCAGGGGGAATTCCGAGCTTTAATTCTCTTGCCATGCCTTTGCCTGCAATTCAGCTACAGCAAAGATACCTTATCCCCAAGACTGAGCAGGAAGCAATTCAAACTCTGTTTCAGGCAGCAATCATGGCAGCCTTTTATCCGTAGGATGCTTCCCATCAAGGGCAGTGGAATCTCTATCCAATGGACCTTGTTACAAGTCCCAATTTGGCTTAGATGTCTGTTTCCTCCAACCACACCCGACATCGTAGGTGGAGCTGGGTGTGGGGCATGCGAGGTCATTGCTTTCAAGGAACCACTGGAGCTGAAACTGAGCTCCCAATTATCCTTTTGCAAGCTGGGCTCAACTGGGACAAGCTGCTCTCCATCTGCGTACCAAAGCCGAGGAGAGGGGAGGAGACGCAGGGCTTCTTCCACCCGTCAAAAGTTGGCCCTTGGGTGGTGGGGGAGATAAGTTCACCACCCGCTTGATTTAAACCCTCCCTTTACCACTGCTATTAAAACACCTCTGTGTTTTACAACACCCCTTTAATAATAATAATAATAATAATAATAATAATAATAATAATATTTTTATTTATACCCCGCCCTCCCCAGCCAAGGCCGGGCTCAGGGCGGCTAACAAGCAATAATAAAAACAAGTTGAATGAATACAACTTAAAAACAAGATTAAAATACAACAATTAAAATATTGAAACATTAAAATATTAAAATGCAGCCTCATCACAGGGGAAGAAAGGGGGGGAAAGAGGGGGAGGGAATCAAATTGGCTCCAAGCCAAAGGCCAGGAGGAACAACTCTGTCTTACAGGCCCTGCGGAAAGAAATCAGATCCTGCAGGGCCCTGGTCTCATGAGACAGAGCGTTCCACCAGGCCGGAGCCAGTGTTGAAAAGGCCCTGGCTCTGGTTGAGGCTCACCTGACTTCCTTAGGGCCCGGGACCTCTAGGGTGTTGCTATATATGGACCTTAAGGTCCTCTGTGGGGCATACCAGGAGAGGCGGTCCTGTAGGTACGAGGGTCCTAGGCCATGAAGGGCTTTAAAGGTCAAAAGCAGCACCTTAAATCTGACCCTGTACTCCACCGGGAGCCAGTGCAGCTGGAAAAGAACTGGGTGAATATGCTCCCATGGCAGAGACCCCGTGAGGAGCCTCGCTGCAGCATTCTGCACCCGCTGGAGTTTCTGGGACAGCTTCAAGGGCAGCCCCGCGTAGAGCAAATTACAGTAGTCAAGCCTGGAGGTGACCGTCGCATGGATCACTGTGGCCAGGTTGGGGCAGGACTATCCGGCTCAGCCGGCACTGCTCTGTGCGTTGTTGCAACCTTTATTGTAGCAACGTTATGCCCTCACATAAAAAGGCTCCTACCTCGAGGGGAAAGTGCTACTGGAAGGGATGGGGATAAGTGCGTGCGAGGCCTGAGATGAATTGGGCCAAAGCATATGCAAGGCTGGATATTAAGAGGGGGAAGAACCAACAAGAGTCTTTGAGGCCGGCCCAACGGAAGCAGCAGCTTGCAACAACAGGAAGGGCACCATCTCTACAAGCAGGAGACATCTTGTCAGTACAAAGGATTAGCTGTCAGAACTGCTGGCTAAGAAACAGCGCTACAAACCAGTATGTCTCTGGTTTAATCTAGCCTCTCCCGCGAACTTGCGGGGCAAGTAGCCACACTTATCCTGAACCTACCCATCTGCAACATGAGAGGGATGAGAATACTGACACAGTTGTAAGGGCAATGCATGTGAAACAGTCTGAATGCTCAAAAGGAGTGTGCAGAAATGTTAAGTATTGCTGTTTATGGCTTTGGGGAATGCACACTTAACAGATTTTGTTGAGTACAGCACAAAGCATTGTTCTGGACAGGAGCTTCTAAACCAGGGGTCGGCAAAGTTTTTGTGGCTTAGGCCCATTCACGGTCCCGCAGACGCCACAGTGGGCCAGTGTGCGCGCGCACAACCACTATTTCCGGCATAGCTGTCAACTTACAGATTTGAAAATAAGGGACCAGCAGCCTCAAAAATAAGGGATCAGCAGCCAAAATAAGGGATTTTCCAAGCACAGGCATGTTCAACTTCTGAGCCCCTCCGAACCAAAGGCGGAAAGCCCAGCCAGCAGCCAAACGAAGCCTTAAGCGGTGGTTTCCACAGCACAGCAACCCGGCAAACGGGATGCAGCAAGGAAAACCACCGTCACCTCTCCGCTTGGAAGCGCTGAGCAAAGGCGAGTCCCCAGGCAATGCAGCCGATTTGATCGGCACAAGGCATGCAAGCTCCACCCCCCAGTCGTTCTTAGACTCCTTATTGGGTGAGCAACGCAGCCAAGCAACACAGTTGGAGCCTCCCTCCTCCCTGGCCGGCAGGGAGGGAGGGAGAGGAGCTGCTTCCTTTGAAACCCGGGAAATTTAAGGGACATCATCAATAAGGGACAGCAGCGGGACACAGCACTGGGATAAGGGACTGTCCCGCCAAATAAGGAACGGTTGACAGCTATGATTTCCGGAGGAGGTGTGTGCAGCTTCCCATTGACTGCAGGAGCTTCCTGCAGCCAATGGGAAGCCGGCCAGCATTGCGGAAGGTAGTCCCCGCTCTGCTCAATGCAGGTTTAGCGTGGCACATGGGAGCCAACCGGCCGAGTGGGCAGCGGGGGTCTATAGGCCGGTTAAAAGACCCCCATGGGCTGCTTATGGCCGATGGGCCTTAGGTTGCTGACCTCTGTTCTAAACAATACTTACTTGTGTCCGTGCACAATCTTCCCAGATAACTGCATTTCGTGCATGGCCTGCAGGCGACACTTCACAAGTTCTGTGGGACAGAGGACTAAGGTGGCAAAGGCAGAAGCAAAGGAGCCAGCGGCAGCATTTTGAAGGTCACTGCAAGAAAGACAAATTGTATTTGACACACGGGAGTCAGAAGCTTTGACTTGCAACACAACGGTGGCCATGCAGAGTTCCAGTTCTCCCTGCAGAGGAGCACCTTATGACAACAGAATGGTCCCACTCACAGAAGCAGGGGACACTGTTAGTACAAGGATCAGGGCATCTGGCTTCCAGTGCAGAATCAGGATAGGAAGAGATGTACTGAATCAAGTAGTCCATCCCAGCTGTCAGGCAGGATATGGTATAACTGAAGTATCACTGGTTGACGCCTTTCCTACCAAACTCCTCTAGCAAACTTCTAAGGAATTTCCCAGCCACAAGAAGCAACTTATTCCATAAAGCTACAACGGGGTGATTCCAACTAAGACTCAAAACAGATTCACTAAAATTAATGGACCGAATTTAGTCATTTCCATTGGTTTCAGTGGGTCCACTCTGACAAACATTGGATACAACTCAATTGTCTTAAAATTTCATTTACATCCTCTCTCCTTTAGTTGTCCTTTCTCTGTTAAACATGTTTGAGAACAGAATCACATACAGCTAATATATTTCTTCATATGGTGTATGCTGATGTTGCTTTTGTTTTTCCATAAATGTTCTGTTATATAAAATATTAATGTATTATATGATTCCCACCCCCTTTCGCTTATGCCATGGGTAGGCAAACTAAAGCCCGGGGGCTGGATCTGGCCCAATCACCTTCTCAATCCGGCCCGTGGACGGTCCGGGAATCAGCGTGTTTTTACATGAGTAGAATGTGTGCTTTTATTTAAAATGCATCTCTGGGTTCTTTGTGGGGCATAGGAATTTGTTCTATTTTTTTTCCTTTTCAAACTATATTCCGGCCCTTGACAAGGTCTGAGGGACAGTGGACTGGCCCCCTGCTGAAAAAGTTTGCATTGTATGTTTTTCTCCAAGTTGCTTGGAGACCTTCAGGTGCCAAGCAGCTAAGAAGTTTAAAAAATAAAAAATACAATACAGTGGTACCTTGGGTTACAGATGCTTCAGGTTACAGACTTCCCTAACCCAGAAATAGTACCTTGGGTTAAGAACTTTGCTTCAGGATGAGAACAGAAATCGTGCTTCGGTGGCGCGGCAGCAGCAGGAGGCCCCATTAGCTGAAGTGGTGCTTCAGATTAAGAACAGTTTCAGGTTAAGAACAGACCTCCAGAACGAATTAAGTTCTTAACCCATGGTACCACTGTAAAATAATCAAGCCATACATTGTGCAGCTAGTAAAAGGACTGTTCTCCTAGCCCTGCCTGTTGATACTTATTTTTAGCATCTCCTAGTGACAAGAATGGTATATGAGGGAATCGGAAAGTCGGTCACCAACCTCAACTCTGCTTTCTTGTCTAGTCCAACGATTCTCCTCACAATGTTTTGGCAAAAGCCGTAACACATGAAGAGCACTGCGTTTTCGGCAATGTTAGCGACCAGAGCCGGGGTGGTGCCCTTGTAGAAGCCTCGAAACCCCACTTGCTTGTAAGTCTTCACAAAACAGTCCACAAGCCCTCGGTACATGGCAGGGAATGTCTGCATTTTCACCTTGGCGGTATCGAATGGCTGGCCAGTAATCACACAGGCAGTGCCTCCTGCACAAAAAACCACAACAATCATTTGCAAACATGAGAAGTCTCCCTGCGACAGCACAAATTTAATCTCTTCACTCACCAATGCACCTTATGGATTAAGGTTTTAAATAAGTTTCCTTAAGTAATATATTGTTTCAGCTATATTTCGTAAACCATCCTGCAATCTTAACAGAGGAAGGGCAGTTTTTTAAAAAAATGAAACAAAAGCAAATAAAGCAAAATGAAAAGAGTTTCTGAGAGAGCTAAAATTATGATTGAGAAAAAGTGATGTGGCATGCTTAAAAGTAGCAACTGCTAGAATGAATAGGCACTGCACTACAATGGTACCTTGGGTTACATACGCTTCAGGTTACATACGCTTAAGGTTACATACGCTTCAGGTTACAGACTCCGCTAACCCAGAAATAGTACCTCGGGTTAAGAACTTTGCTTCAGGATGAGAACAGAAATCGTGCTCTGGCGGCGCGGCGGCAGCAGGAGGCCCCATTAGCTAAAGTGGAGCTTCAGGTTAAGAACAGTTTCAGGTTAAGTACGGACCTCCGGAACGAATTAAGTACTTAACCCAAGATGCCACTGTACTTCATTCCAGAGAATACTACCAGTTAATTTCCTTTCAGTACAAATGCACGTGCTGCAAAGCTGTAATATCAAGAGTCAGAATGACTTGAGTCCAACAGAACAGTGGTACCTCGGTTCTTGAACGAAATCCGTTCTGGAAGCCCGTTCGGCTTCCGAAACATTTGAAAACCGAGGCACGGCTTCCCATTGGTTGCAAGAGCTTCTTGCACTCAGTGGAAGCCACATCGCATGTTTGGGTTGCGAAAAACATTTGAAAACAGAAGCATTTACTTCTGGGTTTTCGGCTTTCGAGAACTGAAATGTACAACGGAGGCATTTGGGAACCGAGGTTCCATTGTAGTTAAATAGCCACATCCTCTCTGAACCAACTGTACTTCAGTGTTGTCAGGGGGTGGGCGAGAGGGATGGGATAGCCTCACTATGAGGCCCTGAGCTCCTTGGAAAAACGATGGGACACGTGTAAAAAATGTAATATAATAACAACCTGATACTATATGATGCTTCTTCTGAACAGTGTTTGCAAAACAGTGGGCAGCAACAGCCTGACTTTTTCCTAATCTTCATCCCCCCCCCCCAGTGCGCACACACATTGGTGCAAAATGCCTTGTTGTTGTTTAGTCATTTAGTCGTGTCCGACTCTTCATGACCCCATGGACCACAGCACGCCAGGCACTCCTGCCTCCCGCAGTTTGGTCAAACTCATGCTGGTAGCTTCGAGAACACTGTCCAACCATCTCGTCCTCTGTCGTCCCCTTCTCCTTGTGCCCTCAATCTTTCCCAACATCCGGGTCTTTTCCAGGGAGTCTTCTCTTCTCATTAGGTGGCCAAAGTACTAGAGCCTCAGCTTCAGGATCTGTCCTTCCAGTGAGCACTCAGGGCTGATTTCCTTAAGAATGGATCGGTTTGCTCTTCTTGCAGTCCATGGGACTCTCAAGAGTCTCCTCCAGCACCATAACTCAAAAGCATTGATTCTTCGGCGATCAGCCTTCTTTATGATCCAGCTTTCACTTCCGTACATCACTACTGGGAAAACCATAGCTTTAACTATACGGACCTTTGTTGGCAAGGTGATGTCTCTGCTTTTTAAGATGCTGCCTAGGTTAGTCATTGCTTTTCCTTCCAAGAAGCAGACGTCTTTTAATTTCATGGCTGCTGTCACCATCTGCAGTGATCATGGAGCCCAAGGAAGTAAAATCTCTCACTGCCTCCATTTCTTCCCCTTCTATTTGCCAGGAGGTGATGGGCCCAGTGGCCATGATCTTCGTTTTTTTGATGTTGAGCTTCAGACATATTTTGCGCTCTCCTCTTTCACCCTCATTAAAAGGTTCTTTAATTCCTCCTCACTTTCTGCCATTAAGGTTGTGTCATCTGCACAGAGACCTATATTGTGGAGCCACTGTCTCCCAAAGGCCAAAGGCCCGGAGTGGCTGAATTTGGAGAAAATAGTGCTGGCTTCACTCCTGGCCCATGAAACCATGCTCCCCCAAGCCGGCCCACACAAAAAGCTTGATCCCCACACCCTAAACAAATCCATGCCTCATGGAGGCTCCCCAGAGCAAAGCTATGTACCCAGCCAAAAATAAATGTTTGTCCTGAAGTCAATGGCGGAGCGTAGGCCTGCGCTGCCCAGGGCAGGTGCCCTTCTGATGGGGGGCGTGGTGTGGAGGGCCCTCGGGTGCCCGGAGCGTAGCGTGCGCCCTGCCGCTGGGGGCGGAGCGAGCCTCCTATGGGGGCAGAGGCGGACATTCGGCGCACCGCCTGCCAGCGACTCCCAAGCCGTCAAAATGAAGGGGGAAATACCGCTGGCAAAGCGGCACAGCTGGCCCCTTACCCCAACAGCTCAGGGGAAGCTTGGGAGGTGTGGGCGCACCGAATGTCACCCGCCTCAGTGAGGGCACCTGGGGCGCTCCACCCACCTTCCTAGGCCCCTGCCTGAACTCACAGCTCTTGGCAGCCATTCTGAACATGGAGAGCTGTGAGCAGCTAGCAATTGTGAAAAGCAGCCATGCCCAACTTACTGCTAGAACAGTTGCCTCTTTTTTTGCTAGGAGAGGGAAGATACAACAACAAAAAAAGCAACATCAGCCAGCTTGATGTTTAGGCTAACTTTCAAAGAAAAATTAACAGCTGTTCTTGTGAAACAATGCTATTACCTTAAAAAAAAATCTGTGATTTATTTTATCCTCACCACAGCACTGTGAAGGAGGTTAGGCTGACAGTAACTCAACATCACCTAATAAGCTACATGGCTTAGTGATGATTTGAACCCGGGTCTTGCAGCTCCTAGTCTGGCACTCAACTGGGTTCCTGACTGGAGATGCCTGCAATTACAGTGGGCAGGCAGTGGGAGAAACTGTTATATAAAACAAAACACTTTTATATAAAATAAAACACGCCCTGATGAAATAAAAAACTAAGATGCTATTTACACAGTAAGTACTCTTGGAATATTTGAACGCAGACTAATAGGAGGTCAACTGACTGGTGTACTAACCCTGTATTGGTTCAATAACGTGAAACACAGAAAACAAATTTATCTTGTCTCCGGTTGCCTTTATTGCTCAACTTTTATGTGTGACGTATTTTGAAATGTTCATGAAAGCTAACACTAAATGAATTCAGAGCCACAGCTGGAAAACTATTAAGACAGGCACGTTTACACTTTTACCTTTCAGCAATAGCCAAGATTTCACTGAAGGAAAGCACCACAACAGAAGCTGGAGATCCATGGTGAAGTCAACATGTTCTCTCCCTCAGCACCTTTAAGGACCTGCATTGCTGTCACCTGGAGAAGGGCTATCAGTTTCTAAAGGATCTTGCGAAAATAGGATTTCCTCAGACTTACCTACAGCCCCTGCTGTGAGGTCAATGGCAGCTTGGATGACAGGGTTTGTTTTCATGTTTCCCACTGGTTTTGTGGTGGCTCTAAATCATCAGCTTTGCTGCAGCCCACAGGGAGATGTGATGGGTACTTCTAAAAGGGCGAAAAGAAGAAAACGATTGCGCCTGCACATTGAACAACATCAAATGAAAGAATGAAAGGATTAACAAACATAAAACAAGACTTGAGTATGATATAGTTTTAGATTTCAGACTTACAGTTATGAGAAAAATTAAGTACACCCTCTTTGAATTCTGTAGTTTTACACATCAGGACATAATAACAATAAACTTGTTCCTTAGCAGGTCTTAAAATTATGTTAATACAACCTCAGGTGAACACATGGCATATTATTCTGTGGGCCAAAATTTCTCCATAACAGGAGGCAGCGGGACAACAATACCTTTGCTGAGGGTAAGAATCTTACCAATATCAACAACCCACCAGTGTCACACATGCACACTCAAAACTTTATCCAGTTGTCATCCCCATACATCTAGGCCTGCCATGAGTGTGGTACATACTTATACAAATTATTGTATGCATGGATATGACAGTTTAAAATACATTAAGATTCAGGGACCAGGAGAAGGCTGTGAGATTGTATGGTCCCTTTATTAAATAAACAATCTAGGTAGATTAGGAACATTACAGACAAAAAGCACACTATAAAAGGGAAGCATTTAGCACACACTAAACTGTGCTGCAGTAACATTATCCTATAATCCCACGTGTTTTCCCCAGTCCTTCTAATTCCTATTGCAACCTGCTTAAACACAAGTACTAGGTAAGTCATGCTGGTTCTGCAAGAATTGCCAGAATCAAATGATTCAGACAAAGCCATATTAAAAAGTGCAACGGGGAACATTTTCATGCATCAACTGTTCTCAACCCTTACCAAAGTGAGCCTGCAAAACAAAAGAACAAAACTTGAACATCCTTTCCAGTAACGCCACAGGCGGGGAACAGCTTTTGTTTTTTTTTAAAAGAGATTGTTGTACAATCCTTAAGCATTCAATATTTTTTTAAAAAAAAGCTTTATCCCCATCAACACCATCAGTCCAGTGCCAGGATTGGAGTGCCTTATGTCTGGATGGAAAGGGGAAGCTCATGTAGTCAATTAACCACTTTGGTTAATCAATTAGTTATTGTTTTTTATTATTAACAAATAAACCACTTCTACTGCCACAAAAAAATTGATTTCTAGCCTCTCTCCCAGTTTCGGAAGTTGCTGCCATTCCAACAGAAAAACAACTCCGCAATCTCTTTAGAGGGGATGGGAATCTTACTACTCAGTGGCCTAGCGTGGGGGGTGCAGGGGGGCCAGCCGCACAGGGCGCAACATCTGGGGGGGGCGCACTCGCCGCCTCTGGAGTCGCCGAAGAGCCTCGGGCGCAGGCTGTAGCAGAGCCCCATGTCTTGCGGAACCGGCGAGCTGGCAGCAGCTCTCAGCGCTCGCCGCGGTCCCTGCGCGTCAGGGCTGCGGAGGGCGCGCCAGGCAGCCCCTCCTCACAGCCCCGCCGCCGCTGCTGCTGCTGCAGCTGCTGGGCCATGTTGCATTTTCCTCGCCTCTCTGCCCTCCTCCTCCAGGCAAGCGGCGTCGTTTGGGCAGCAGCGCCAGCGGCAACTCGCCTCAGATCACCTGACACGGACCCGCCGCTGCCGCTAGGTAAAGGTAAAGGTACCCCTGCCCGTACGGGCCAGTCTTGCCAGACTCTAGGGTTGTGCGCCCATCTCACTCAAGAGGCCGGGGGCCAGCGCTATCCGGAGACACTTCCGGGTCACGTGGCCAGCGTGACATCGCTGCTCTGGCGAGCCAGAGTTGCACACGGAAACGCCGTTTACCTTCCCGCTAGAAAGCGGTCCCTATTTATCTACTTGCACCCGGAGGTGCTTTTGAACTGCTAGGTTGGCAGGCGCTGGGACCGAGCAACGGGAGCGCACCCCGCTGCGGGGATTCGAACCACCGACCTTTCGATCGGCAAGCCCTAGGCTCTGAGGCTTTTACCCACAGCGCCACCCGCGTCCCTGCCGCCGCCGCTACCTTACCGTAAATACCCCAGCCCAGGCAGCAGCAAGAAGAAGCTGGCAGCGGCGGCAGGTTAGGGGTTAGGGGGCGCAAATTACTTGCCTTGCCCCGGGTGCTGACAACCCACGCTACGCCGCTGTTACTACTGTACTGTAATCTCAATGAACTACCAAAACCAAAAGGATACCATACCTGTGGGTGGATTTGAACTAGTGAAAAGCACTTTTTGCTGATGTAAGTAAGATGACACACCCAATTTTCAGTGATCTCCCCTATCTATCATTCTCATGCCCAACTTTCCATAGGCATCTGGTTGGACATAGAAATCGTTAATAATGATTGCCAAGTGCTTGCAGATATATTTTAATATCATCACTTAACATTATATTTGTTTAGCACTGCCAGAAGGTCAAACTGAAATCCCTTGCTGTTCCTAAAGCGCTTTACGTGCATCTTCATCAAATGCAAACTTGCCAAGCCCCCAACATAACAGCAGATGTGAATTCCTCACACCCAAAACCACATTTTTTAAAGACCCGTCACGGGAGAAATTTGCAGAAAATGAAGTTGCATCCCCTAAAATGACACGCCTGCTGCTGCCAAAGCAAAGGCACCGGGCAAGTTCTGGGGCCTTGCGAGGCAGGGAGGCGCAAGGGGGCTTCCTAGGCGGGATTACGCAGGGGCGGAAAATGCGCGCCCGGCCTGGGCTCTCGCAACAGCTGCTCTCCAAGGGGCGCCCGGCTGGTGCGCCACGTGGGCGCCTGTTGCTGCTGCAGCAGCAGCGCGCCCGCCTCGCCGCCTTACCTGCAGCCGCTGCGCCTCGCCCCCCGCTCGCCCGCATCGCCTGCCCCGGACCCCTCGGGGTGCCCGCCGCGGATCCTTTATAAAGCAGCCGGCTTTGGAGGCGCGCGCCCGGCAAAAAGAGCAGCAGGAGGAGGAGGAGGAGGAGCTGCTGCCGCCGCTGCTGCGCGGCCTGGGAAGCGGAACCCGACGCCCGCCCCGCCAGGGGGCGAAGCTGGCCGGCGGCTCCGCAGACGCCCGGGAGGCGGGAACGAAGGCGGACGCCCAGGCGGGCTGGGAAGTCTCCGCTCCAAGCGATGGCCCCCACTCATAACCTCTTGTGTGTGTGTGTGTGTGTGTGTGTGTGTCTATATATGTATATATTTAAATTTTCTGTTTTACAATTTAAAGTACTCATTTTTACATCCTTAAGATATCAGTGACTTCCCTTCTTCACTTTCCATGGTTCATTTTACATATCATAAATCCCTGCATATTTTATAAAAACTATACCATTCAGTCTTCCATAATAATAATAATAATAATAATAATAATAATAATAATTATTATTATTATTATTATTTATTTATACCCTGCCCATCTGGCTGAGTTTCCCCAGCCACTCTGGGCGGCTCCCAATCAAGTGTTAAAAACAGTACAGCATTAAATATTACATTACATCCAATATAACTTAATTACACTGTTGAATTTATCTTAATGCTGCCAGCATTTTCAGCTGTACACTGTTATTTCCCATATATTCAATAAAGGTTTTCCAATCTTTAATAATAATAATAATAATAATAAATTTATTATTTATATCCCGCCCATCTGGCTGGGTTTCCCCAGCTACTCTGGGCGGCTTCCAACAAAACACTAAAATACAATAACCTATTAAACATCAAAAGCGTCCCTAAACAGGGCTGCCTTCAGATGTCTTCTAAAAGTTTGGTAGTTATTTTTCTCTTTGACATCTGAAGAACATATGTTCTTCTTGTTCTCTTATTCTATATATTAAGTCTGCGAGCTGCACATATTCTGTCAATTTACGGTAAGTTGCCATTCTTCTTTAGTTGGGACCTTGCTCGTTTTCCATTTTTGGGCTGACAAAACACAGGCCGCAGTAGTGTCATACATAAATAACCTTTTTTGACACATGGGGATTTCAGTCTGAATTAACCCCAACAGAAAAGGACTCTTTTTTCCAATTCATTCTGCATCATTTCATAATGGGTTTTTTGTTCTTTCAATCCATCAAACGTCTCAGCTTTCAAAACCTGCCCCCTGGAAGGAAGAAAAGTGTGCCCATAAGAGTAGCTTCTTGCACAGCCTTCCTTTTCATTTTGCTATTAATCTATTTTAATTCCCATCAGAGTTTTACCGTATCTTGTATACAAATACAAAATAAGTGGCATACGTAAAGAATGCAGTGTGTGTTTGTCATGTAAGCATATAACTAATAAATGACAGTGTCCTTTCTAATTGTTCTTAGACCGCCTTTGTTACAACTACTGTACTTCTATTGTACTAGAAGTATGTTGCGCAGGTCTTTAACCCCATGCTTAAAAATAATTTTTTTCCCTTCACTATTTATTGCTGTGTTTATAGGAACTGCATTACAAGTGCAACAGCTCGTGCAATGTATGTGGACCAGTTTTAAAGGGGTTGAAACAGTCACCACACCATGCATTTTAAAATTAAGTTGCCCTCTTGTGACCAAACAGGAGAGCTGAGAAAATGTTAAAGAACCTGAACTGGAACTGAAACAGAATACATAACAATTTGACTTTCTAGCTGTAGCATGCAAGGGAAAGGTAAAGGACCCCTGGATGGTTAAGTCCAGTCAAAAGCAACTATGGAGTTGCGGTGTTCATCTCGCTTTCAGACTGAGGGAGCTGGTGTTTGTCCACAGACAGCTTTCTGGGTCATGTGGCCAGCATGCCTATGCCACTTCTGGTGCACGGAGGACTGTGATGGAATCCAGAGTGCACAGAAAACGCCATTTAGCTGCCCACCGCAGCGGGATCTATTTAACTACTTGCACTAGTATGCATGTGAACCCACTCTCGAAACCTTGGATATTTAACAGACACTATGTGGGTTAAACCACAGAGCCTAGGACATGCTGATCAGAAGGTTGGTGGTTCGAATCCCTGCGACTGGGTGAGCTCCCGTTGCTCGGTCCCTGCTCCTGCCAACCTAGCAGTTCGAAAGCACGTCAAAGTGCAAGTAGATAAATAGGTACCACTCTGGCGGGAAGGTAAACTGCATTTCCGTGCGCTGC